AATTTAAAAAAAACATTTGCAGTATGTCTAAATACCGACAGCTCAGATGCGTTTTTTTGTGCGTCCTCTTTCGGTGACGAAACGTCCGCATGTAATTGCTACTCTGGAGGAACAGACGAACAGATGTCCGCAATAAATAAACGAGTTGTGGGGTAAAAATACTCCCACTAGTTTATAGGGGTGGAGTTCCGCTCTGCAGGCTAAGCTGTTGTCAGTCAGCAGTTAAGCCCACTCAATGATATGGAGACAAACGTATTCATACTGGATTTTTTCCAACAAAAGAACAAGCATATGGTTATTGAAAACGGCCCCAAACTTCGGACAAACTATCAGGCCCATTATATTCACTACGGAAGTACTGAAAAACTCAGAAAATACAGCAAATTATTTTATTCGAAGGCCAAGAACAAAGAAACGTTCAAAGCTGGTTCTTCTGCACGAGATATTGCTTTCAAAACGACGCTTCTCCTTGCTCCGCAGAGGATAGTAAATCTAAAACCGCAACGTAGCACACCTTTCCATGTATACCAGTAGATAAAAACTTCATACAAGGAAAAACAGCAATTTTGAAGTTGGTTTCATCGAATGTCGCTTGGCGGGCTTCTAATTTTGGTCAAACAGGAGGTTAGGATACTCCTTGATGGATTAATTTTGGCGTTGTGGTTTGGATGCAGGATGGTGCCGAGATTTTTTTGTATAAACTCAGAAAAGGCGGAGGGCAAATGTTGGGATATTTTCAGCGCTGACCCAACAGAAATGACAACGCACTCGAATTCGGCCAACTGATATGATGGCTACAATGGCCAAAATTTCAAGTGGCTAAGAATCAATTAATAATGAAACAACAAAAATATCTCGTCGCATCTAAAAGGAAAGGTGAATAAAAGTTCTTCGGAGAATAAAGCTGGAATAAAGCTACCCTAATCGACACGATAATCTCTGATATATGGAGGTTACCACTGGCGTACAACTCGCTGTTTCCATCCATCTGCTTTTGGTCAAACCATTAGATACTATTGATCTTTAGAGTAGTCCTGCAGCTCCTGAAGCCAGTACAAGGTCTCAAGCAATTTGTAGCTTTTAATAAGGAGGAAGTATATCAATGAACAAGCCTTGAAAAATTGGTTTTCAGCAGCTGGTCAGTATGTAATTTGTAATTAGAAAAAAACCTGCGCATGCCTCTCACTTGAGGAGCCAACCAACATCGGATGGCGTTACGCAAACCGTATGATTGACGAATGTTGACGTTTATTTCATACCTCAATGAAAGTTGATCACCTGTTGCAGCGGTTTTTTACCGACTGGTACGAGTTTCAGCTATCAAACAAAAAGTCATGGTTGAATTTTCTTAAGGTTTTTTTAGATGCTCACCGCTGATATTTCTAAAAAGACCAAAGCCACTGCACGGTGGTTTTAGTTTCTAAATATATACTGATTTTGATTACAGGATGAAAGTTCAAGTAAATTCTACACACCTTAGAAACATTCATAGGCCTCGAACAAGCGTCCAGCACTAAAGTCTGCCGCTACCTCAGGGATCAAACAAAATGTGCAGCTTCCAAGCATGTGCGGTGGAACGATTTGCATCCCTTTGCTGGTTTTTCGTTTATCATGAATGTAACTGGCTGTGGGATGTGACCGCGCAAACCCTCAACAGGAATTACACGAGTTCACTGTGAGACGAAATAAACTCTGCATTTGCTGACTTTCAGAAACCAAACTACCTTGGGAAACCAATGCAGAAAGGGGTGACAGCGTTTGGCGCATTGTAAGCTATTCTCGACAGCTTGATTCTAGATCTTTGCATCACACTTGAGGTGTAATGTTTTGAGTGGGTGAATATTGTTCATACCAAGGAGTGTTAGCGCAAAAGAGCATTCAATATGCCAAAGTGAGACACATAATAAATAAGCCAACTTGCAAATATTTTGCCAACTCTCATTACTCACCATTTACTATAAATGTTGCATAAATTGACAGCCTATCAAGCTCCGGATAAATTTATCTTCGAATAAGTTGGACGTATTAAGTTATCATGTCATTAAGACATCAAGAAGGCTGTAGAGATTCACGAGGTCATCTGGTGTATGATTGGTTATGGAAAACGTCTTCCAACTGGTATTCATCTGCAATTCGTTGTCTAGAATTCAGTATCTTGTGCCGATTTTATCTTTCACCTACAGACAGTGTTCAGATGAAGAAACAGGGTTCGATCCGACAAATAGTTGTTTTCATTCCTTCGCTAGTTTTCGAGGAAAGTCGTAACCACCCTTCTACATCAGGCACGGATGTGATTGTCCTAGCTGTGAGTCGTTTGGTCGATGAACATATGCTGAATTTGGTCGCAATTGGGTTAGGATTTCCGAGAAAAAAACGGACAGAAACGCTGGAAAACATCGTCAAAATGCCCGTTCATCAGCATTACTGCTAACTACAAAACTATATTTCAACACTGATGCTTCGTTAACACACGGCCATAATTTTTTGAAAGCTTTAATTTCAAGACAGAAGTAAAAGTGGATCAAGTAAGAATTTAGTGCCAGCCTTCCACCTTCAAACACTCATTCAGAAAATTTAGACATATACTGACAAGGACACGATTGAGGTCGACCGGTGAACATACCTGACAGCGTCTCCAACCATGAACAGAGAAATCACGTGGATTACATCTCGAGAGGTGGGTCGCACCCAGACTTTTCGTATCGATTTCATTTCCCTCTGTCAGGTTGACCACCTTTCTGTTTGCGCCAGTCTGAACTGGGTACGGATGCAGTAAACGGCGGTTTGACCATCTAGTGCATCAAGTCACTGCCAAATCATCGTTTACCGGAGAGAGTGATTTTCTCCGCCCTCACTTCAAAGCGATGTAAGCTTAAAGGCATGTTACATCTTCTCAATAGCAAGATAATCTCACTAAAATAGCACAACTGTGAGCAGTAGGACTAAAAATACCAACCTTAATTCAATGTGACCATTACAGGTATTATTTTTCAAACTTTGACCATCGACTGTTATTCCGTCTGAGACTGATGTAAGTCAGATATTTTTGTCGTTTATGGACTCCTAGTCTGGTGGAGAGACACACCACTAACTGGGGTGCATCAATTGCTGTCAGCAAAATAAAAGGGGGACAGTACTGAGGAGTTGAAATTGGATCTCGAACATTCGATGTGTGGACTAAGTGGACCGTCAGTTCCGATTGCTGTATAAAAATCACGCTGACACCCAGCGGTGTTCTTCCCGGAAGTCCGCAATGTACTTCCAGCAATGTATTTCTGAAATCTAGGCTGTTTGATTCACATTTGCAGAAGGTTTGTACTCTGTTCGTTTTGAATATCCTCACTTTCATTCCCCGCATACTTTAATACCGAATAACCAAATTAAATCACGAATTATCTGATTCTTTGTATCGCCGGGAATCGGACATTTGTCTATGTGAACAAACGTTTTATGTTGACTTTCATTTTGGTTGGGCGCCAAAAGGCACTGTTTCCTTCCAAACCTTTCTTTGGAAGCATCGAATACATCGAATACGAACCATTGTTTTCAGTCGTTTGAGCGACAGCAGTAGATGACAGTGTTTGACACGAAACCGCCAGGTAAGTCTTCGAAATGTTACGCCGCATTGTTCAGACCAGCCGGATTGGTGTGAAAGCAGTTTACACTTTATGGATACCGAACAATGTTCTGCGTTTCTATCCATTTACTAGTGCGTTATTTTATCAACAAAGGCAGTTTTGAGTGAATAGACCGATAGGCCGTTGCTTTTTCTGAGGAAGTTTTGAATGACGGAAAAAATACAAGTATTCTGCGTTATCACAAAACATTGTGCTGAGAAGATTCAAAAGTTTGAAATGTTTGTTGTTCTATTGTATTCCTTATATCAACTATTCCACTTATGGGGAAAAGGCGAGATTCTGGTAACTAATAATTTACGATAAATAGGACTTCTCGGTGGAATTTTTGCGCAGTTCATCTGAGGTCGACTGGCTGGTGTTGCCAAGGCAATAACCATCTGGTTGCGAAACCTAATCTTTGCATGCAGAAAAAATTTCTGAGCATGCCGAAGTTTCAGTAGCCGACAGCTAAGGCAGAAAAGCGGATCTGTGGTTGTACAGTGAATGAAGCGTGTTTTTACGATGCGATTTGGTAACCATTACACCACTTAGGTGTTTTTCACTGTTCATTTGCAGCATGAGATAGAGATAGATAGAGATAGAGCTAAATAATGTCTGGTTATTTCCTCCTTTTGTGGATTATCAACAGTATCTAATAATTCTCCAGGTTGATTTGAACTAGTAGCCTCCCGGCTAGTAATGGCACAATTCACCGTTCGGCCAAGAGCGGATGACCAGTATTGTAACTCGCAATTAGGCGTGACTTAGCGCTACTCAGTCATGGAATCCACATCACTTCTGTCATGCTTTGTCCGGTTCCGCGAATGACAACTTCACAGACGGAAGTCTTATCGATCGTGTGAATTATTATTCCTTTTGAGCTACTTGTCGTTTCCCGGTAGTATGAGAAAAGGATGAAATTTTCAATGAAGGGTTTGTCACGAAACGGCGTTTTCATACGCTTCATATGTGGTGTTACGAATGGCTGAAGACCACACGGGGAAAAAAGCTTGTACTGATGACGACTGTCAGTGCATCAGGGCACGTGCTTTGAAGGCTACCAGGTTCTGTTGACAGAAGCGCAAATACGGTCACCTCTGAACGAGATCGAGAACAAAAAAATAGATACAACCGCGCATATACACTCATTTGCAAACTAATTTGGATTTTTCGGGAAACTCACTTGGAACCCAGCTGAATCTTTCGTTTGTGATGTTCTCAGGCAACTGAGTAGTACAGTACAAAGATATACATGTATTGTGATATCTCGAATATCGTAGCGACTGAAACAGGAGGCGGCCTGGTGCAGCACATTCAGTTGCCTGAGAACATCACAAACGAGAGATTCAGCTTGGTTCCAAGTGAGTCTCTCGAAAAACCAAATTAGTTTGCAAATGAGTGTATATTCGCTAATTTCGTGCAACTTGCTTTCAAGCAGAACATAAGGTTGCCGAAAACGCGAGGACTGCGCCTACCTGATGAGCCCCAAAATGGCTGAAACCGGTCGTGATCTGTCGACGGATTTTCAGCAACCCTATGAGTAGTACATTACAAAGATAGATACAACCGCTTCGCAACTCAGTTCTAGTAATGAGAAACGGCTCTTCTCACTTTTCCGTCGTTAGGCATTACGGTTACGCTTATTTCAATGCCCCGGCTTCAGAAAGCCTATTGCGTGGTACACATTACTGGGGAATAATTAAACCTTACTGACGTCCTGTTGACGCCTCTTTTCGCTTACAGAAAAGGTATTTCTCCAGTGAAATGCACTTAGCAACTGCTCGAATGGAAGAAATGAACACGAACTTTTTGACAGTGTACGGCAGTTCCAAAATAAAAGCTAATTTCAGTTCTGAAGAACTTGTGGATTTTTACATAAGCCGTTGGTTTCACGTAAAATGGTCCCCTATCAGATACGCTACCATGGTAGGTAGATTCTTGGGGAGTGATTTTTTCAAAAGCAGCGTACAAGTTCCATTAATTGTGCACCAGGATGTGGAAAGTGTGTGAAAAAATTGCGAAGTTTTCTAGAAATACTTACCTAAGGAAAATGCTTGATAAGCCCAAGTGCATTCTGTCTTCTGAATTGAGCACGTTGCAACTCAGAATACGTATGTGTGGTTTCAAAAGCCATTTCAATGTAAACAGCCTGAGCTACTAAAATGTATGAACAGCAGCGTTATCGTTTTGTTCTTACCCCACTTCCAAAGCACCTTATCATAATCTCTATTCGTATCCTGTGTTGTCTCCCTGTAAGCGGTGTTGGGATCTCAAATAGACATCGGCTGGTGACAATAATAAAAAATATCCTACATGGCACCCTGAAGATCTTGAAGAGGGTTCCATCTATTAATGTTAGTTTCAGGACCAAATTAACGATGATTTTCAGTAATATATAACCAGCCTACAGGTATTTACTATGGCTTAAAAGAAAACAGCTTTATTTCGCTCGATGTCACACTACACAACAACCACTCAGTCTAAGATAGATGGCAGGTTTATTACGCACCTTTCAAAAGTGATGTAGACCTGATTTTTCTCTAAGCCCTTGTCGGAAAAAGTTCTTTTGGGCAAGCTATGAGGTTGATGCGGTAAATAAAATTACCCATGATCGATGGAGTCCGTGGGGATTTTTTCGTCTTTTCAGTTAGAACTTACGCCATCCTCCTTTCCCGTCACCGAAAACCCTGAAGAATGTGGCACTTCAAACTTTTGAGGGGAAAACTACTTAACGAGGTGTTTTTCCAACAGTAGTGTTATAGTTCGGTGTCCGTGAATGTCATCGTTAGTGATTCTTCCTCAGAAAGCGTACACTTATCAAATACTTAATGTATGATTCTGAATTTTGTCTACTTAGCAAACTATTTCAACTTTTGAACAATTCGAGTGACATGTCTGCTGTCCACATCTTTTGCTATCCGGCTCTCAGTATGTGCCCTTCATTATATCTCCAAGTAGGTTTTTAACATTTATGGCATTTCTTCGTGAGATAAATTCACTGCCTTTCGAGAAGAGAGTCGGGATCAAATCAACCNTTCACTGCCTTTCGAGAAGAGAGTCGGGATCAACCAATCTTCCGATCTCTCTCTTGGCAGCGCATGTACGCAGTTCTTCGGGAGTGAGTTTAGTCCTTGTGAACTTTCCTTCCAATTTAACCTTCAGCCTTGAAAACGCCAAATAATTTGCCGGTTTACTAGCGGACCGCAATTTGCATCCAATTTTGATCCAGCTGAAATATAAACCTCTAAACCTCTTGTGTTGCACGCTGTGTACGAAATCAGTTTGGAACCACTTCGTTGCCCTTCAATTGTGGAGGACCTCGATTATGACTGAAACAATATAGTGCTGGAAGTATTTGGTTCAGGAATCGTACTCGGCTTAATCGAGGACACTAACGACCACCTAACCTGAAGATCAAAGGAGTCTACTCAGAGAAATATAGCTACCGAGCATGCCCTTTGTCAAAATCTCTGGGACCTCTGTATGGAATTTCTGCCAAGTGTGAAGAAACAGAAAGCCCACGAAAGTTATATATGGAAGAAATGAACGGTCTCGCCAGTTCTGACGGGATTTGAGTCTGGACATAGCATGAGCAACTTATTGATCTTTATGATGCTAAACTGTGATAACTATTTAAGATAGTAATCTGAATTTATCGTCTCTTTTAGGCGACCGTGAGCGTTATCTTACTCCTTGAAATAGTTTAGAGAAAGTGATAAATCGAAATATCCATTTGTAAAACGGACAGCTGTTTCCTGTTTAAATTACCGAATTTGTTTTTTAGTGTCATTAGGAAACTACTCACAATTTTGCTGAAAGCTATTCGACAGCGCATGACCGGTTTCGCCCGTCTTCGGGTTCATCAAGTAGGCGCAGTCCCTGAGTTTTCATCAACCTTATGTTCTAGTTGAACCCAAATTGGACGGTTTTTGCAAATCAGTTTGGTTTTTGTTGTGTTATACATCAAATGGCCACGGTTGGTGCAAACTTGGAAGCGCAAACACCGTTCGCTTAGTACAGACACAAGTCTCCATCACAGCAGTCTACAATAAACTGTTAAAATCACTGTAGATCATGTCTTGCCATACGAATAGTCAGGTTGTACGGTTCGTGAGCCACTCAATCCTCACTGAAAATGATCACTACTCCATCAAGGAATCTGTCTAGTCATTTTGGGCAGCACACTTGGGACACCATGCAACGATTGGTTCGCCTATCACGTACATTAAAACATTAAGGCTGAAGGATCTTTGTGGCTTTCATCCTGCAGTCAGTTGAGATTTACTTGCTTCGTTTTAGATAAAAGGAATCGTTCCATTTTCTGGCCACTTGATCAAGTTAGTTCTACATTCAGAGTGGTTCCAGTATCATTTCATTCTCCCTAGTCAATGTGAATTCCAAAATTCCGGTCTGAAAGTTCGAATTTTCTTTGTTATGTTGCAGCTAAAGAGAGGAATCTGGTTTTAAGTGCCCGATCTTGCACTGTTTCTGCATAAAGACTCACGAGAAAAAGAATCCTAGGAGCAGGCACATATCATGGATCGCTGTTATTTGGTCCGCTTACTTGACAGGCACCGAGGAGAACAAGCAAATGAAACACCGGCAGAAAGAAATAAGTAAGCATATATAGGGGTCAGATTTCTGATAGCCTGACAAAGCACGCCGCCCATTTCGTTGCATGATCCAACGTCGTTTGTATCAATCCTGGTACACTCGGGTGCACAAATAAGTTGAGTTATCACAGCCTTCCGTTTTTACTCGACCGCCCATCTACTGTTGAACACAGCTTCTTTAAAAGTGACCGAACTTTTGTTTGTGGCTTTATGCATGCTTCTTTCAGGAGTGATTCCACTCCCTTCAATCTAAACATCGCAAACTAAAAACACACAAGTTCTCATAATAGGAATAGCAGTTTGCATAACAGAAACAGTTCTATCATTGTCAGTTTTATATTTAATAAAAACCTTGAAATAGTACATTTGGAATTGCAGATAGCTTCATAGAAATCCACTGTCTACAAGAAGTGCCGTTTGAGAGAATTACACTACTAATGTCTCACTGATTGACTGGGTCTAACTCAACTAAATAGGATATGTCTAGTCCTATCGGTATGTTTTTTGTGTGTGGCTCTGCTCATTTTAGCTAAAAAAACACCATTTCAGTAGGTGAGTTTTTTTGTGATTAATTCATTTCGCGAGCAAGATGTGTCTGAAAATTTAAGAAAAACAAATGCAGGATTGTGTGAGCATTGTAATAAATGAGTGAATTTCTCCTAGGAAGAATCTACAGCTCACTGTGTTGGGCCTGAAACTCTTGAAAATCCTTCCTTTTAAACGAACAAATCAGGCTGTTATGCAATTCTATCCTATAGCGAAAGCTGACATACTTCTATGGGAAGACGTTGGAGGGAAATTGCCTTGTGAAAAATTGCTCTTCTTCCGACTGACGTACAATAAGTCTGGCACGCGCGTATGAAGTGTACCCTGGATTTTTTTAAATTATCTCTTTGTAAGCTTTTCTCTCAGTGTCGTCAACACTGTGTTTGCTGCTTGGATTCATAAGGGGCTATCTGACTACACCTGAACGTTACATCGTATTATTTGACTCTCGACATCCTGTGAACCTCTAGACTTGACCTCATCAATTTGTCCTCAGTGTTCGCTGTACCATCGTTTCCATGATGTTTTCTCCGTCTGCTTATCAAACTATCAGTTCTATTTGAGATGTCCGAAGAATTTTGCGACTCTCCGAATAAACTGATCCGTAGATCGGGTCGATTTCTACGAACTGATTGATTAAGCTTGTAATGGAGTATAACCCTTATGGGAACGCGTTTCTCTGTCTCTTACTTCCAGGCAACAAATATATACCCTTACTGGCACAATACACTACACTTAAGATTGCCGAAAACTCTTCGACAGCCCACGACCAATGTATAACTTCTTGGGGCTCCCCAGATAGGCACAATTTCCAATTTGCGATAATAAGGCAGCCAATCAACTTTTTACCGGTATGTCAACATTTCTCACTGATGGTTTCAAACATGTTTACTTGTCTATTCCAAAAATGGAGGCCAAACAAGCGGTCTCGGCAGCTGAGAAACCTCAGCCAGTACTTGAGTTCCCACGTTAAGTCCGTTTTCGATTTATTTTCCGAAGGACTGCATTGATCAGTGAAGCTGCTCGTGACAGTTTTTGAAAGTTCTTCGCTGAAATACTATTCAGCTAATGTCTAGAACTCTAGGTAGCCAAGAATGCCGCGAAGATGCCCATATTTCGCACGTAGTGAATGCATTTCGAACAGTTACTCGGTTTCCTGAGCGGCCAGTTCCTTGATTACGTGACTTCGGTTGTTGAAAAACGCTTGACATTCAGATGGGAATGGCAGTACAATAATTCGAGTAATGAACTTATACAAATGACTTTACTGAATAGCCTAACTTATCAAGAAAACGATGTATCCTGTCTGAAACTTAGTATAAGGGAGCTGAAATATAGTACTCTTCAAGCCGTAACAAACTTTTTGTCCTTAGCTTCCACATTATTCGTAGGAAGCACGAGGGTTCAGATACTGCCAGGTGGCCCAGGCCTAGGCAGGAGCAGTCTAGATGAAGAGCCTGGTTTTTTTAAAACATGGACCTTGCTATATGACCTAAACAACTGAGATGTCTTGAAGTCTCGAATCAAACTTAAGGCCTCGTTAATGGAAATGACACTCCCGTGACAAATAAAACCAGTCAGTTCAAGTTGAAGATTGAGTTGTAGAAGCACATGGCCGGTGACAGTTGTAAAACTAGAACAGTTTAAGTCGATTATGTGATAACATGTTCTCAGTATCAATTACAACAACCCCCATTCAATGGTCTATTGAGCAGAGAAAAGAGGTGGGGCTATTGAGCAAAGGGACAAGGTGTGCAAAAATGGGGGCATTCTTGGTGAAGCACCAAACATCTAGCTCTCATCGGTTGCCAACGACTGAACTGAAACGAAATAAGAAGAAAAATGACGCGGTTTTTAAAAACACTAAGTGGTCGACAATCTATTTATCTATTCCTTCTCCCTTGAACAGGCAGGCACCAGTATCCGGAAAGTGCATGGCCTACTCAAGATTTATGATCCTGCAAATTCATGTTGTCCGATTTTAACCTCCTCCTCCTATCACTTCAAATCAAAGTGGAAAAATAAATTCATGGAACCTATATGAGCACAGATCTGGCCTATTCTAGTCCACGGGACGTGTTCCAGTTTACCGAATTAATCAACTACTTAGAAGTTTCAGGTGTAAACCTATTGTTGACTGACGCAATTTTTCCTTTTTACCAAACTATTAAGTTAAGTCGAACAGAAGTTCCCGCTTGAACTCCTGAAAGAACTGATCCGATGCATTATGACTGTGCAAATCGTATTCTACGACGAATTGTACCGAAAGATTGACAAGACAGCTATTCGCTCACCAACTGGCCCTCCACTAGCAGACTTGTGCACGAGTGCCAGTTTAGTATAAATAATCCACCAGTCCTCTTTAATAGCAGCTTGTCGATGATACCGTTATTGTGCAACTTAGAACGATTAAGCTAGACCAATCTGTTGCAGATTTCAACACCGCCAACTTAAAATCAGGTTTGCCCATGATCTAGAACAAAAAGTGTCGTCCCATTCCTGGATATTGTGCTATGGCGCCGCGACAATAGGCTACCGTCCCAAACCGTGTCATAACCCTGGCTGGGTAGGTCAGGATATTCACTTTTCAGGTAATGATTCATCGCAACTATCGTAAGCATCGCGGTTTATCACGAACCAAAATATATACTCGAGAAATACACTCATTTGCAAATCATTTTAGTTTTCACGAGAGACTCAACTGAATCTCTCGTTTATGATGTTCTACAACTAAATGTGCTGCACACAGGCCGTCTCATGTTTAAGTTGGCACGATATTCGAGATATCGCAGTATATTTTCATGAAGGAAAGTACTCACAAGATTGCTGAAAACTATTCGACAGCCCACGGCCGGTTTCGCCATTCTTGGGGCTCGGAAGGTACGCGCGGTCCCCGAGTTTCCATCAAACTTATGTTCTACTTGAAAATCATATTGATTTGCAAATGAGTGTAGTTGTCGAAAACAGTGCAATTTGGGCTCAAGTAGAACATAAGGTTGATGGAAACTCGGGGACTGCTCCTACCTGATGAGCCCGAAACAGAAGGGCAAAACCAGTCGTGGACTGTCGAAGAGTTTTTAGCAACCTTGTGAGTAGTTTCCTTCATCAAAATACATTCTGATTTTTTCGACCACGGTCACACAATTCCTTATTTTTTATAAGAACTTGGAAGAAATTGTTGTAAGCGTACCCAAAGTCGCCGTAAAAATGGATATTATTGCATCTTCGGGAAAGTGTGGAAACAATCGGCTAAATAATTCTTGCCAAATTCTTCTGAAAACGGTGACTACTCAGTCTGTTCTGAGCGTTTCTCAACTGCTTGAAGATATTCTTGTGCTTTAAACACAGTTACTAAGGCTGCCACCGATATCCCAAAACTGAACGAATTAATTGTAAGCTAGTTACAGTATTTCAGTAGGTGAAGGAGCGAATCGGTTTGAATATTCATCGATGGAGATGATGAATATTCTCGTTTTTTTTCTGTTTTCAAGAGCAGTCCAAGCGCTTTACAATGAGATAAGTCATCGCGACAGCATGATAGGCGTCTACTTGATAATCATGACCTTTTAAGATGACAATACCCGAGTGAGATGCGTAAATCCGCCGCCCACCAGGTTTGAACACCGTGCTCGGATCGTTTGTCCCTTTTAGGAGACGTAAAGTCTCTTCTTGTCTATATATTTTCAGCGAAACAGCAGTGTGTTCAATTTTTGGTTGCTGAACTGAATGTTTGAGCTGATCGTGATATTGTAAGGTGTCTTGGTATGTCTAATTTCATGCGTGAAACTATTATTGAAAAATTGTTTTATTACGACGACCTACGGATACTAACAATGTGGTTGCACTGAACAGTGAACTCTACCTAATTGAAATTTAAAAACGCAAAACTAAAGCTGCGTTTACGCCCAAATGCGGTGAATCAAGAATAGGTTTGGAGTGAATATCGACCGAGTAGAAAAACTGTTCGCGCCACCGCCATGCTTTCTGTATAAAGTTGCCAATTTCGAAGCCGCCATGTGGACTAGGTTCAGTATGGCCATAGAATATGTGATTAGCTATATGCAGTGTCCAAAATCGAAGGATGTTTTGCGCATCGTGTAATTGATTGGTCATAGGGCTTTATGATACAATTTTAGGGTTTTGCGGGATGTGTGAGTCCACACCAAAGGGAAGCACTGGACTCGAATTTTGCTCTTATTATAGCTCATCAGCAGTGCATATCCAATGGCCATGCCGGATATCTGACATGTGAGGCGGGCGTGTAACCACTACTCCAACAACGCACGTTGAACGCATCTGAATTTTCATGTCTGAACAGGCGAACGTGTTCACACTTGAGCGATGTGATTGGTGTGTCCGACTTTATGATAGTGACTATTTCCACTTAGCAGTTGGGCTGCAGGGATTTACGCGCAGAACCCAAACAGTTAAATCATTCAAATAAGTATCTGTCAACACATGCAGTACTACGAATAAAAAAAAAGCAAAATTGCACAAACTTGCACAAACTGTGGGATTACACCGACTTCTGTACACCGGTTTAGAAGCTATCAATTCCGAAAGGGATCCTGTAATCATAGCTGGCCAGAAAAAATTTGCGCCCACCCAAAGTCCACTCTGACTCAAGGCAAAGTGACCACAAGATGACGAAACCCACGTTGCTGATTTAAACTAGAAGTGCAATGACAAGCTGACCGAGCGGTTTGCGCTCAGTTCAAAACAAGGAATGCGTTATTGGCGTAAAACAGGAACAAAAAAAATCGTTCAGCTGTAGCACCTTACCGGTGCCTAGCTGCCATGTCACCCGAAGAAAGCACGAGGGCTGGGATACTGCCAGGTCGCCCAAGCCTAGACAGGGGAAGTCGAGTGGCAGAGGTCGGCTCCGAACCACGGACCTTCCGATCAGTAAATTCGCACTCTAACCACTTGGTCCATCTGACCCCCAAAACAGGAAAAAGAAGACGCAGAATCACGCTGTACACAATAGGAGTAGAAGAAAATAATCAGGACAGGGGTGACGTTTATATAAGCACCTGCATTTGACAGTCTTTGACTTTGGGTTTACTATGGATAGATAGTGAAGCGTTTGTATGTACTATCCTGCATTGGAGACAAGGTATTGTATTACTTTAACTCTGGGCTATAGCATGTTTGTTAAAACTTATATTACCAAAGTATTTTTATTTTTAAATTTGTGTGATTTTGTGACTTGAGGATTGCTTATTTAAACAGTGGAATCATAGTCGAACTAGCGACTCACCAATTGCGAAAGTCTTGACGAGGAAGAATAATCGAGGAACTATTATTCGTTTCAACCCTAACAGATGGCCAAATTCCCCTACATTTCACTTCCACATCGCAGTTCCCGCGGCATTGGTAGGCTGTTGTTCTTGTCTTATTCACTGAATGAACAAATTTGATCGTCTGCAGATAGAATAAACTCATTCAGCAATTTTATCTTCGCACCACAGTTAGAAGGCTCCGGGACATATAAGGAGGGAGATGTATTACAAAACAGCGTCAAATTCTGCTTCTATAGACAATTGCCTCAGTATTTTCGCTCTTTTTCACTAGTCCGTTTGCAGAAGACACCATATCTCAAGGGAGGTCACTTTTTTCATCTTCACGAGGGGATGCCTGTGGATACGGAGCAACAAACCAAAAACGTTTCTTTGCACATTCCGATTTTTTAACTCAACTTGCTTTGGAGGGGAATATGACAGATTTCCACATGGAACATTGGTAGTTCTCTTCATTTTACTGTATCTGGTGGGCTGAAAAGCAAGTCCTCTATCCGGAAAGCCTCGTTGACCACTGAAACAAATGAATAATTTAGAAAATTCCTCCTGTTCTCTATCTCTGCTTTTTGAATTGTTTTTGCAACTAAGGTTCAGAGCTTCTACATTGCACTTTAATGATGTCTAGCTACAAATCACCTTCATTTGAGGATGAATGATGCTTGCAACTCCGGATGCAAAATTTTTATTCCATCTCTTTGAAAAAAGTGAAAGAATATCCTTAGTAGTCTGTGTACGGTTTTAGAAACACCTGGGAACAGTGACCATTTCTCTCTTTTCTCCCCGAAACAATGTAAGCAGTGCATAAGGTTTTGTCATACTGATGGCGAATGTTCTCTCCTTCTTATGCTTCAGATCGATACATACCGTTATATTACTTGGTTTCGTTACACTAAGTGGTCTAATTTTCTAGAATTTTATCCAAGTCCTACACCTCACTCGGCCAACCACCGACAGATTCAGCCGTTACGTTACTTTATTTCTCAAAAAGAGTCCTTTACCATATTCTGTCTCGTTTCTGAAACTTATATAGCCGGTTACCATTCATTCAAAGTACTTCTTGTCCAATTCACTATCTGTGAGTTCCCTTCCCCCCTCTAAAACACACTGGTTGGATTCAAAGTACAGACCGACACGCGCGTCTTTTTGAGCGAAGAGCAGACTCCCAGTATCCAGCGTATATTATTGTCACCTGATAGTATCCTTCAAACTTGGTTTTGATTAACTCCCACGTTCCGGAAAATTGCACCACAATCTTTTTCCATTCTGCTTAGTTCAGCTGCGGCAGTTCCCATGTCGGACCCGTAATCTGCACGCTGCGTGACAAAATATTGGTCCATAAAAACTGATCGGCGAACTATCACCATTTGCTCAAATCGAGTGAAAAATTCATATGACTTTATCTTAACGATAAAGTGTAGATAATTGCATGCATCAGATCCTCAGCTCATAAGCAACGTTGCTCACACATGCACATTCTAAGCATGGTCACAATGAAATGCAACAGACATGTTCGCACAGGTGCAGTTGGAAGGTCATCACAAGGATGGGTTGCAATGGCCAGAGGACCGATGATTCAGTGAGCACTTTTATTATAAGGAGCTAAGAAAGCCTTCTTCGCTAATCAGCCTCATCTAATGCAAGTAAAATTCGCGTATTTTTTTACCGGTGACCAGGTTTCTGAAATCTTCATCCTGGGATGCTCGCCTCCTCAAGGCCAAGCGGTTTCGGGCCCGAAACTTTCTGAAATTTAGTTGGTCGCACTCTGCTGATGATTTCTGATAAATCCAAACTAGCTGAACAATGCTTTTGAGCTATTCAGCACAGATAGGCTCATTTAATGGACAAAATCTCAATTGAAAGTTATGAAATCAGTCAGTAAACTGTCCACTCAGAAGTCTCAATGTATGTGGCTTTCTTCAGTGTACACCTTGTAAGAGTTAACAGCTACTTCGTTAAGAAAATCTCTTTAGTCACCCTGTTAAACTAACACTGTTGGGTAGAAACACATCCCATCTTGAAAAGATTTGGTCTAGTGGCACCTTCAACATATAGGGGAGCCTGGCTTTCGCAGCCAAAGAAAAGATCGCGAGGACCATAGTGGGTTACTTGAAGCTGTGCATATGTAGATAGCATGTTCAGGCATTATTTAGAATGGTGAGGTAAGAAATGACTGGAAAACGGATGGCATGCTGGACGGCTACGTTAAGATTCACTAGTGATAACGACCGAGTGAAACTGCCACAGAAAAGAGGTCGCCTCAGAGGGAGATTGCCGTAGGACACTTAATCGCACGGTATAAAAGTATCGGTAAGTGATTCGCTACAATCAGGTGCGCTGGAGGGAATTTGCAGTTGGTCGATTCACCAAATAAATCTGATGAAGGAAGTCTCAGGAATATGGGACTTGTCAACCGTTAGTAGGTATTACTCACCCGTGACTTTTTATGCTGAGGAAGCTGGGTCAAACATTTGTGCTGGTTACAAAGCAGGCCGTACACCATTTTGGTGAAGCAGCTCACGTTCGGTCTAATATGCCTATACTGTCGGCTGCCAATTATTTTTGGGCTGGCATTCACAATTTGGGCTAGGGGACGTATGAGCACCCATGTGTAAATGCATCTCAGTCCAGCATAATAAGAGAACGACGGCGACAGTGCCCCAGCAATACAAGCTCCATTGCATGCGTACCTTGTGTGTGAGCTAAAGCCAAGATGTTTTGTAAGACATTGAAGCCGAAGTAAATTTCAGACACGGAGGAATTCAGTACAGTAAAAAAATTTTCTATCCATTGAAATGTTGTGATACTT